ACTGTACCCTGTTGCATGTTTCCGTCTTTTTTTTTTTCGCCTAAAAAGTACTACATTTTAAAATGTGTATTGTATTATATTCTAAATGTATCTGCATATGTGCTTTCTGAACAAATACTGATTGTTAGAATTCATATAGTGACTTATGTGGACTATAGAACGGTTTGAAAAGAAATGGAAATATATATCCAATTAGGTTTAATGAGGTGTCGGGCCACTATGAGCACACAGGGATGACGTTTCCTCTTCTCTACTGAGGTATTCTTCAGGTCGACTTGTTGGGAGGTGTACACACTTCCTTGAACTGTCTCCACACATACATACGTTCAATGAGTGGGTAAAGTGTGAATGTTGACTCATCTAATGAGGTTATTTTGAACTACCTTTATTGAGACCACAGTTTATGGTCACTGCACGATAGCATGTATAAACTTACATAATTTTGTACAGCTAAGCACTCAGTGTTCAAGATGTTCAAGTGATACTGATAGGTCGGGCATGGCCTAGCGGTTAGCGTTTTTGGAGTGTGAATCAGAGGGTTCATGGTTCGCCTACCGTTACCACAAAACCTCTCTCCGCACTTTAGGGCTGTGGGTGCACTATAACAGTGACGGTCAAGTCCCATTATTTCATCAGAAAAAATTAGCCCAATGTTCGCAGTGGATACTATTGAGTAGCTGCCTTCCCTGTGGATGATCGCCATTTTTTTAAAACTTGCTACTATATAGCTTTAATTTTCTGCTCTGGCAGAATACATATATACCAGAGGTTAGCACTAAAAGAGATGTCACATTCTACTGGTCAGTAATTGTGAGTGTATGTATATTAGAAATTCGTACTGAAACAGATGTAACCTTCTACCAGTTAGTAGTTGTGAGTACATGTGTATTAGAGGTTAGTACTGAAATAGATGTAACATTCTTTGTTTGTTTGTAATTAAGCACAAAGCTACACAATGGGCTATTTTTTCTCTGCCCACCACGGGTATCGAAACCCGATTTCTAACGTTTTGAGTCCGCAGAGTGACACATTCTACTAGTAGTTGTGAGTACATATGTGTTAGAGGCTAGAACTGAATGAGATGTCACATTCTATTAGTTAGTAGTTGAAGTACATATGTATTAGGGGTTAGTACTGAAAGACATGTCACATTCTACCAGTCAGTAGTTGTGATCAATTTCAGGGTTATCAGAGTGTACAGTTTATGGTAGTACCAGGATTCATCATTAAACTAATTTATCTCTCTACATTTTGATGTTTATGCTAGGAGTTTTAAGGTTACTGCGTGAGATACGTAAAACAATGAAGATAAAGATCAAATCATGCATTTTGTTTCTAGATTCTAGCTGTTCTCAAAGTAACGGATAATGCACATCCAGTCGTGCATAGATTATCACAGCTCTTTCTGACACGATACCTTTAAGCATGAATTCGTTTCTGTCCAATGCTTCTACATTTCCATTGTTGAAATGTTTTTGTTGGTATAACTTAAAATGAGACTGAAATTATGTGACCCTTTTGATGCTTGAAATAGAACTGTGATACTTCATGTTGTCTGTAATTTTTATCATTGAAGTTCTGTTTTGTCTGTAAGTCAACAATAAATCTTTCACAAATCAAGCAAGACATTTGTAGATTTAAATTCGCTTTATATGTAAGGTGTAGCACATACCATTCATCGATGCTTAAATTTAGTTACTGTTAACATGATAAATATTTTACTGAAGTATTGTGATTTTGTTAATTTATTTTAGGTCAGTCATTATGTACTAATGAATGTGTGAATTTAGATTCTCGTAATTTTTTTTACCACACGTTTTCTTCTTCACTATAACAGTTTTACTAGTTATGTGCATCAGCCAAGCGTGAATAATGTTTTTCATTTTGTTTCTTTCCAAGAGATAACAAGGTGCCTTTCACCCATCTAGACTATCCTACTAATTGTTTGTTTGTTTGGAGTTAAGCACAAAGCTACACAATGGGCTATCTGTGCTCTACCCACCACAAGTATCGAAACCCGGTTTCTAGCATTGTGAGTCCGCAGATCTGTGATCTGTGTTGTTATAGACGCTTGCTTTAAGGATAAAATATTGCAGTAATTACAGTACGTATGAAAATGGCGCACTTTAATTAATCTAACAGACTTAAAGAATGTAACATTTGACGCAGGGGGTAAATTAATTAAAACTATTAATTTTTTGAAGATTGTTTTGGTATAATATGTCATAAAACAAATTGATTAAATATGAAATTAAAGTGTTTAATAAATCAATCATTCATGAATATTTAATAAAACTAAAGTCAAATACTCTAGTTTTTTATTTTACTGTTATTTTCTGTACAGCAGTTATCATTCACTTTTCACCAACAAGGGCCCTCCAGTGGCACAGCGGTATGTCTGCGGATTTACAACGCTAGAAACCCTTTGTGTAGCTTTGTGCTTAACTACAAACAAACAAACATCATCAGCAAGGATGTTTAACAACTGCATCCTCCTTGGGATTTGCCTGACGAAAAATGTCTATGATTGTTTCCACATTGCTGTGTATGTCCTTATAAATGTGCAGAAGGCTCAATCCAGACAACCTCTCTGTGGCCGTAGTAGTCCTCTTGAAACTAGTTATAACAATTATCTTTCCTATATCCAATCGTTGTCTCCAAACTACTCATCCAGTCTTATCTCATACTTCTTCAATTTGGATTCTACCATAGCTGGAGGCAAACCATTCGATAGGCTGGCCAGCCCATTAGAAAAATAACTCTGTTTTAACTAGAGTTGTGACTGAATTTTATACATCTTAAACTAGAATCTTCTTGTCGTAATGCTTGCAGAGACTTTTATGAAAACTTCAAAATATTAAAAATCTCAGTCATGTTCCACAATACTTTATTCTCTTTAGCATAAACATGCCAACAGATTTCAACCTATCCTCACACGATAACCTTTCCAAACATGGAATAACTCTTGTGACTCTTTTCTCAACTCTCAATGATAACTCAATATCCCTTCTTAATAAAGTGAGAAAAACTGGAGATAATATTCCAAATAAGGTCTATTCAGCGCTTTACAGAGTGAATTCCTTTACTACCCCTGTAACCCTACTGAGTATATTTTCAATACTTCATTAACTCCAACATATACTACGAAAGTAACCTTCATTAACGGTTAAGCCATTATGGACTTCTTTTTCTTATATATCTCACACACAACTCGAACTTTACCTATACGGCTAACCAAGAGATCACCGAATTTGTCTTAATGTCTGAGATCGAGTTGAACGAATACCAACTTACATGATGAAATCAAATTTGATGACGAAGAACCCACTTTGAGACAATAAGATTTGAAGACGGCTTGGATGAGTAACAAAGAAACTTTATTACAAAAATAACACAGTAATGTACTTTTTTTTTACTATGTTAAATTTGTAATAAAGTATTCTTCATTACGCATTTAAGCCGTCTTCATGCTTTATTTACAATGCTATATAATGAGATATCGAATCTAATTGGACACCATCTTCACATATTTATCAGTTACGTTTATTGTCATGATCCATACGATTCACAGTCTATTTTATATTATATCAGGGCAGGGGCTATGAAGGAACCTTACGTTTGCTACAGATACCACCCACCAATAGCATTTCTTCCTCATTTTTAAGTTCTGTCAGTATTTAACTTATGTGAGAGAAATATATAGTATATAAATGAGCGTGAATGTTGAACATATATGGTTTTGTAGATTTTGTGTTTGAGACTTCAAGTTTTGTTTCTTTAGTGACAATGTTTCCAATACTACACAACATAGAACTTATATGCGATTTCTGTGTATTTTAATATACTATTTTCCGCCATCACGCTTGACTGTACTACAGTGGATAGTATTCTTGTGACAATATGTCTTCTTTCTCCGTGTGACCCACTATACAACTTCAGGGTAGATTTACACACAAAAACTAACATGTTATGGATGCATATTAGGCCGCTCTGTATTTTTATGCACGAAACAGGTACACAGATGTAACTGGAACATTTCAGTTGTTGCTCTACATGTTTCGAACGGCCAGTGACGTAAAATAATTGAGATTTTAGAAAAACTGGACATTTCGTAAAAGTTATATTTCTTCTTCCAACAGTCGTAGCAGTTTTGTTCTGTTTTTCAATAAACAGTAACTGAATTTTTATAGGCATCAAATGCGTACATTCTAGAGAACCTGGTTGATACAAAAGATACTACAAGTAATTTCTGAATGTGTGATTTGTGAGAGCCAAACCTTTAAAGAGAAAAAGTATGAATATTTACATACATCATATACTGCTGAGTTAGTTTTAAATAAATACAATTACTTACTTTCAAATTAACAAAAATTGTAGAAAGTTAAATTTATATAATGCCTATGTTGATAATATTCAAAGTGTTATCATAACAGAAGATTTAATTTTAAAAACAATAAAGCATTTTGAAAAATTACGATTTAAACACTGAAAGCTGGCGAAGCATTAGAAACCAATAGGCCTAAATGTGTGATAAAAATCACATTAACATAAGATGTTTTTTCCTCATTCCATCTAATTTGCCCATTGCGGATTCAAAATTAGAGGTTTCCAATGCTTCACCAGTATTTCGATAAACCGTAACTTTTAAAGTATTATACTGCATATACCAATAGTGTTTCATAGAGTCTTTTTGTCTCGCATCGTCCAGTCCAACTGAAAAGTCCTGGTAGTGACGATAGGCTTCTAGGGCAGTGGCTTGTAGGAGATGTAAGATAATTCTGAAATGTTTTTACATGCCTCTGATTTCGAAATTCACAACATAATGTGGGAGAATACATCTACAGTTAACGTGATTTTTATCATAAATCTTAGGCCAGTTTGAGTAATATTTCTGACGAATTTTGGTGTTAAATCAAAAGGTATAAGTAAGTTCAGAGGACAAACCATTATTGTATTATGTTTTGTCTTCATGAAAAGTTATTTATTTATTTATTGTACAGAACATGAAGAAACCTACGCTAAACTTTGTCTCCAAGCTTTGGTGCTATACGAAGGCAGTGGAAGGATAAGGCAGTTGAATAAACCAGGAAAAAAGGCTTTTTGTTTTAAGCGCAACGTTCGCTTTTGCATATTGTTACTCTTTTTGTTTGTTTGTTTGTTTGTTTGACATTTTAAACAGGTTAAAGAAATAAAAAACGATAAAATAAAACAAAATACTGATATACATATATATTCACACATCTCTGCAAGCACATTCATTTTTAAAAATCAGCACACACAGCTGGTGTATATTAGGGTAGATTGGTGTGTGTATTAGAAAGTTTTTATAGAAATATAGATGTGTGAAATTATACAATGGCTTACTAGGAGAGTGTTGTGTTCCGTATAGAGGAATGTTATCCATTTACAGAAATGTTTTGATAAATCTTTATTTGTTAAGAGTAGAATAAATTTATTTATTAAGTAACAAATTATGACAAGTAAGCTTATATATAAGTATAAACACTTCGTGTGGCAAACTGTCTGTGAAAGTAACAACTTTTATTAATTCAACGATTTTCTTAGAAACAAAAACGCAACAAAATACCTTATTGTCTAAATATATATCCCGTGCACAGTGTTATCATAATTCAGATGGAATTTATTCATCCCTTATAATACTTAGAACAGTAATTTTATTGAACTTATAATTGAAAAATATAAAAAGTTTGTTTTGAACTACGTTTGTCATATATAATATTTTGTTATTTTTCCTTGTCACTATATATTGAATACATATATAAACTTTAATACACCAGTTATAAGTAAAGTGAATAACGAATATTTATGTTCTTAAAAACTGTTTCATGTTTTTATTTCATTAAAAGTGTTGAATAAATGCTTCGTAGAAATTATAATGTTCTAGACTGGTTTCTCTGTAATTTTTAATGGCCGCTAGAAACGGAAGTAGGAATGCCAAACAAATGGCATCTTATACTTGACCATACCAAAGACAGCGTCAAAGAATAGAATATATATATTTACTGGCTCTTATATTCAATTTAAACCTGAATATCCCTAGTTGTTTTACTCTCAATTCATTTATTGAGATTACAACAAGAGTTTTAACATGGAAGGAGACGCGCTGTAGGTGTCAAGCAGCATAAAATATATAAATATTTTGATGAAATATGTGAAATGTTCGTTTTGTAGCTTTGCCATAGATACAAAATACAAATACTCGAACTGTTAGTGACGTGGTTGAAGCAATAGGCTCCTATAATTTCGCCTTAAAACAATATAATTTAATTTGGCTTGCAACTGGGTCGGACGTGGCTTAATGGTTAGCATGCCAGACTGTGAATCCGGAGGTTCATAGTTCGCTTTTCGTGGCCCCAAAAATCACACTCTTCACTCTGGAGCCGTGGATGCATTATAAGAGTGACGTTCGAGTCCCACTATTTGATTAGAATAGTAAAAGAGATGGCGGTGAGTGCTGCTAATTAGCTGCCTTCCCTGTATGTAACAATTCAAAATTAGGGTCGTCCAGCGTAGTAGCTTTTGTGTAGCTGTACGCAAGTATCCGAAACAAATAATTTGCATTCGTTAAACTTTTTACATGCGCATTGAAGACGATATATACTAAACTTTTCTGTAAGGTAAACAAATACTCTGTAGGCCTGACACAAAAATATTAATAACTAGTTGAAATTTAGACATTTTAGTTTTTAAATTAATACATTTCGCAAAATATAATTTATTTGACACAGATAAAGTATGGGTTAGTAGGACTAGCAGCATAAAACGTGACCTTTCCACATCCGGGAAGAACCATATTTTTTGTCATACTTAGCTGTATTTAAAATGCAGACTTCTAGTTTAATGTACCGAGAAAGGGTTGATATAAGAAGTAACGAATCGTTTGAGTTTAAATACATATAGACATTTGATAATCAATATGGAATTAATAGTGTGAATAAAGAAAGAGAATTAACATAATGCAGTCATGGCTACAGCTAGTGCGTGTTCGATTTACATCATTCATTTACAATATTATCACTTCTAGAAGTACATGTCGCTGAAGTTGTATTTCTTATCTTCTCATTACGTATAAGAAGATAAATTCCGAAGTTGTCTATTTTTTCTTGTACATTGGCATTCATGGCAAATTCGTATCTTTCAACGCTTATAACTTTCGATTGTTTGTTTGTTTGTTTTAGAATTT